TTGAAGCTCGCTTGATAGTTGTTGCTAGTAAAATATAATTTACACCCTAAAACCTAGTTCCACAACTGAGTTGACCATCGTCCTTCTTTCATTCTTAAATGTGGAATTCCTGTACATAGACCAAGAGACACACATTGGACCAGAAGAAGGGGATTTGGAATGATTTAAAATCAGGAGACTTGTGAGTAAGGCTTTTTTAATCTTTCCATGACACTTTTTAAATATGTATGCTGAGCAAATAATTTGAGAATCTGGAAGATATGAAGACAATATGCAGGTGACATAACCTTGCTTGCTGAAAAACAAAAAGAGGACCTGAAGTACTTACTACTGATGAAGATCAAAGATCACACCCTTCAATATGGATTATATCCCATGTATAGAAAACAAAAATTCTCAAAAGTGGACCAATAGACAATATCATGATAAATGGAGACAATATGAAGCTATACAGGGTGTCGTTTTACTTTGAATTACAATCGACATGCATAAAAACAGTAGTCAAAAACTCTAATGATGTGTAATATGGGTAAATCTGTGCACACGAGTTCTTTAAAATGTGAAAGATCAAATATGTTACTTTGTAGACTAAGGTGTGCCTGACCCAAGCCATGATATTTCAAATCCCTCATGTGCATGTGAAAGATGGACAACGAATAAGGGAGATTTTGGGTAATTGGTGGATTTAAATTGTTAATGAACAATATTAACAGTAATGTAGGCTGTCAGCACAGCCAAATATGTCTCAAAGAATTGCATCCAGAATGCTCCTTAGATAGGAAATGGGAAAACTTATGTCTCACGTGCTGTGGGCATGCTATCAAGAGAGGATATGCCAAAGGATAGTATATACTTTTTGGTCAAGTAAAAGGTCAGTGAACATGAGCACAACCTTCTAACAGAAGAATTGGCAGTGACTGAAAAATGGGTTTAAATATAACAACTGTGAGGATGGATGAGGCAAGGCAGGGCTTCCTTATGTTGCACACGGGGCCGCTCAGAGTCAGAGCTCTCTCCGTGGGACCTGCAAACAACAAGGGTCTCTAAGCGTACAATAGAGTCCTACCATCCCTTTCCCATGGAGCACTCTCTTATATTGGCTTGTTTATTGAACAAGCATTGCACAAGGCTCAGTACAAGTATCAAGTTGTCCCATATCCATGTTCCCTCGGACATCGCTGGTGGTGCTTTCCTCCTTTCACTTGACCTTTTCTTCCTTGCTGGACAGCTCTATTTCATTATAGAAAAAAATGTAGTTTCTAAATCATCTATAGTCAAATTGTGCTTCAGAGAGGTTTTTGTGCATACAACTTGGTGAGTAAATCTTCTTGAATAGCTTAATTTGTACATTAAACATATTTGACGATTGGTTTGCTTTAGTACCTAAGTATGTGGTGTGGGAGAGAAAAAACACTGAGAGATACGTACTCTATAACTCCTTGAATTAGCAGCGCAACATGTCTAAAGTCTTATGTAGAGAACTAAACCTAATTTATTTATACTTAGGAAGAGTTATCATTATGAAGAGGGACAAGAGGGAGAATCATGTACTATCTGTGGCATAATTTTCAAAAGAATTATGGAGATTGTTATTACTGTACCTACATAGGAAATCATCGTAGTAAGAAAAGTGAAGTACTTGATACATATTTATCTTCAATATCTTACATAAGAAGATAAAGGTAAATTAAAAAATTCCTTCCCTATCTTCCAAAAAACACGAATAGCAGAAATAAGAAATGCTATGTTAAAATTATTTTTCTTAAATTTTGAAGTAAACCAAGAAATTTTTTAATTTTTTTCTATTATAAATTCTGAAATTCACACACATACAATTTTGATACATTGTGACATAATTTATTCAGTAGCATGTTTGTATTGTTATCAAACTATAGAATGAAAAAAAAAGTTGCATGCTATTTAAATAAAAAATTTTGCAGTTCCTCTTCTTTTAAAATTTGTTTTTTAAGACTCCTTATAATGTTCACTTATCTACATTTCAAAACACTGAATATCAATTCTTTATTTTTATTTTATTAATGTGAATTAAAAACCTGAAGCCCATATAAGAATTGTTTTGTAAAATGGAAGTTTCTGAGCAAAATGTGAAAGATAGCCAAAAAGAACTATAAAATACTACTCGGGATTTTGGATTTATTTCAGTTTTGCAAATTTCTTACTTATATTTATTTAAGGCTGAAAATACCCTTTACAGTTGCAATCACCATATCTGATACATTCTTGTGATAAATATTACTATAAGGTTTATAATAAAATGTGTTTTTAATTATCCTTAATCCCATTTGTATTAATTATGTCACCTGCTTAGGAAAACTGGTGATATCAACTAAAGCTACTTATACTGACACCCATCTTGTAATGTAACAATTATTCTCCTAAAGAAAGTTTGGGACACAACTTTCACAAACCCCCCAAAATGCATATATGTGTATTTTAATTTTTTCAAGGATGTTCAGAGGAGCACTAGCCCAAACCTGAGAAATATCCAAGAGCTAATTAAAATGAGAATCCAAAAATTGTGGTGTATTCACATAATAAAATACTATACAACAATGGGAATGAATAGGCTATTGCTATGTGCAACAAAGTAGATATATTGCATAAACAAAGTGTTTAACAAAAGAAAGCAGACTTGTTATAATGGGAAGGTAGTAATCCAAAGAAGGAGAAGCAAAATCAAAAGAGAGTGGGTCTAGTAAACTATTGGGAGGTAGGGGGAATGGGGGGAGGTCACTTATAAAAGTTGTTTAAATTTTATGAATACTTTAAAGTGTTGATATAAAATTGATGATCTGAAATGCAAACCACATCCTGAATCACAATTTTTTAATGTAAAAATACAGGAAGTAGACTCGGAAGATGTTTATATAAACTTTAAAAGCAGGAAAAGCATACTTATTGCTGTATAATACAGGATAAGGATTAACTTTGGGTGAAGTAGTGCTTAAAAGTAGTGCTTAAAAAGTGGCTAGAGGAGATGGAGTAAGTATTTCTATCTACTTATGGACATTCTTTTCTTGTTCTCTTCATTTTTATCTCTTCCCTTTGTTAAAGTTTATCCACAAAAATTTTCCTTGTGCATTTTGTATGCATAGTATATTTTCTAAAAATCTAAAAATTATTTTAAATCTGTAGGATGGGAAAGTGTACCCAAGCAAGTAATTTTATTTAAAAATCTGGTTTTATTTGTTGTTCTTGTATCTAAATTCTCCTAGAAAAGATTTTTTAACTAAAACTATATACTAAGATAGAAGACTAAATTTGGATCATATTTTTCCTTTGCATATATTATTTTTGTTCATTGAATTGTGAACTGAGTGGACTAAAAGTAATGTTCTTTAAGTCATTTATTTTACAGAACATTTCCAGTAGAGGGAGCTTCCATTTTTTTACTACCAGAAATCCTCTTTCAAGGGGTATCACTGAAAATGAAAATATTTAATTTTTAAAAATAAAAATTTTATAGAGAAATAAATTCCTGTAAAATATGATTTATCTTGTATAAAGCAAAATTTAATTCTACTAAGAAAATAACAAAAAATCCAGGTGAAGAGCTATTGATATTGTATAAACTTTTATTTATTTATTTGCTTGTTTTCAGAGAAATATTTTTGGTTTACTCACAAGTGAGATGTCCAATGAAAATTATTAAATATTAATCAAGGTAAATTATTATAATCACAATTATAAGTTTGAATCGAAATTTTGAAAATTTCAATAAGGTATCATAAAATCTCAGAATGTATTGCTGAAGATGATAGATCTACCATATATAATATAACAAGTTTGTCACAGATTGCCATATAAAATTATGACTGCATGGGGTAACAAAATTTGTTACTGAGATTAAACTTCCCTATCTAGCTACTTACTAAACCCTTCTACTCTTCTTAGGACAAAAGATTTGGTTATCTTTCCATCTATTTTATATATACATATATAATTAGCATCAAGGATATTGATAAATTAAGGTAAAATAATTAATTTCTACATAATGGATTTTGTACTCATTTATATGACATTTTTGGAAAATGTAAAACTTTTTAAAATTTGAAATGAACATGAAATGTAAACATGAGATTTATGACAATTTTAAGATTTCATTAAAGTTGTCAAATCTAATTAAAATATATTTCAATGAAAATAAATTCATAACAGTTTAATCCTTTACTTCAAGAATAAACCTCAATAACTCCAGAAGTATAATAATATTCATAGCTATCTCCTACTATATACAAACATAAAAATATAATATTTTCTGCATGGTAGTGTTTTTAAATAATATATACTTGTTCTTTAAGGTAGTTTAAAACTGAAAATTTTACTTGGTAACACTGAAAATCAATTTACATACTTCAAACAGAAATCAGTATATGCACAACTCAATTAACTCTTAAAAATCCTTGAAAATGGACATGGATAGTCATTTATTTATGATTTTGCTTTCCCGTAATTCTTGAGTTAGGCTCATTCGAAAACAATGCTTGCAAGATCTTTATGTTTATTCGTATAATTCAACCTCTGGGTATGTCAACAATGTTCAGAATTTATCTGACTAATAACTACTTATGTTCTATTATTTCCATCTTTTAAGAAGTTCACACGGTCTCATTTCTAGCTATCCAACACTTCCTAAATTTGATAATACAATAACACTCAGAATTTATAATTCAATTTTTTAAAAGTAAAACTCTCAAAGTAATTTGGGAAGAATGCCTAGTCTTTGAAAGGATTTAACTTTTCTAGTTCAGCTAAAAAGAACCGTAGACACCAGTAAGTAAAATACACAAATCAGAGAAAATTGAACAAAGTTGTCTGTTTCCAGAGGTCTAAATAGACATACAATAATAGTATTTAAGGGATACACTCAACAATTCTTAATTCAAAATTGCAAATATCGGCTTCCTCATTAACAAGTGGTTGTAACATTGTGTTTGAGAATGAGGAGTTCTCCAACTGTTAAGTGCAAAAGGTCTCACCTGAGCAACAGCGCTGCTTCCCAGAAGTAAAATCCAGAAGCTAATGTCCGAAAATGTCTCACGTGGGCCATGATACGGAGAGGTATTCAAAATCCTGAAATTAATTTTATCCAAGGCATGGGAAACCAGAAAGACAGAAAGCAATGCAATCTAACTCTGAGTTTTGTTAGTGGAGACAGATGTTGGTAAAGCTTCAGCACCTTAGACAGCTCACTGCAGGAAGCGGAGCCCCTTCTCACCCAAAGATTTGCAATTCCTGTTAGAGATCCTTTGAGCGGAGCGGGATTCACAGGGTTACACATGTGGTGCTTGATGCCGTGACATCGGAATGGTGTGGGATGAAGTGTCTGTGGTGCCTAGGATCACTGAGCTCTAGCAGCAAAGGTAAGAATGCTTGTCCTTTCCTGATTGTGACCCACGATTGGAAGAACAACTGCGACTGTGGGAAGGAGGATGCTTCCCCACCTGCTCCTTGCGCCTCCCGCCTGAATCCCTCCCTCCACCTTTGGCTAAAATCCAAGGCTGCTAGCGCGGCAAAGGGAGCAGGGGTGGAGCCACAAGACACAGTCTAGCCCGCCAATCACGACCATAGTGCAGGGCAGAGTGACAGGCACCTCAGGAAGGTAGGCGGTGCTTAGTAGTACATCTTTTAAAACAGCACTGAGAATCTGTTGTAAGAGACTGAATAGAATAAAAGGAAGAAAGTCCCAGGACCAAGAACAGAAAGAGTCAGCAGCTTTGTGGATGAGATCTGTACAGAACCTCGAGCGGACCCTCCAGTTTTTCCTCCAGGGAAATGGCACAGTTTAAGAAAGAAGGAAGGGCCTTGTCTCATATGAGTCTCTGACCCTCCAATTGCAGGAGTCACTGGAATGATCTAGGGGAGAGAACATCTTGGGGCGCCTGTGGGCACCAGCGGGACCATAGCATCAACTGCTTCTATAATCTTCACATAAAGTGGTCATGCTTCTCTGGTTAGGAAGCATCAGTGACATGAATAATCAAGGTTTGTCTTGTTTTGTTGTTATTGTTAAATTCAATAGGGGAAAGATAAAGAAATGCAGGAGCCCTAGTGGCTTAGTGGGTACGAGTTGGGCTGCAATCTGCATGGTCGGCAGTTAGAAACCACCGGCAGCTATGCAGGAGTAGACTGGGCTTTCTACTCCTGTACACAGTTACAGTCTTGGAAACCGACAGGGGGTCGGTCAACTGTGAGTCAGCGTTGACTAATGGCAGTGAGTTTGACTTTTTGGTTGGCTGCTAAAGGCACAAAACTTCTCACTGTTTTTCACTGTGGTTTCCATGTCTTAACATTAAATGAGAAGGAAAAATAAATGATACATTCAAGATGATCATTTATATAGGCACTTGGATTGGAAGACTGAAAAAGTGTGTGTGTATGTGTGATTGCATGTATGTATGTAGTGTGCATGCTTATTCATTTATCACCAAGTAATAGGTTTTTAACTAAAATCCGTGCTATTAGAAATTGTCACTTTTATTTATTGCATGCAGGATCAAAATATTTACTCCTTATGGTTATTTACCAAACTCCCTCATATATTTATCTGAAAGCCTTAATTTCCTCATTGACTAAGTTTCATGCTTGGACTATATTTAATTAAGAAGTTTTCTTCTTAATTAAATTCAACCAGCACTTGACAAATTAGTTAGTTTCATAATTCTCTATGTAACTGGCAGTACAAATCACCAATTTTCAACCCCTATAAATCAGTACACAGTGAAAAAAATCTCATTTTTCACAACTCTTTAAATAGGTAGTTTTATTTACATTCATTGAAAATAAGACTTCTTGGATTTATTTTAGTGCAGCCTTTTAATTGGAGTTTTGATGGCTTCAAGGTTGGCAGTTCAAGCTGAAGGGCTACCTGAGGGAGAAAGATGGGGCAGTCTGCTCCGGTGAAGTATCACAGCCTTGGAAACTCTATAAAGGGTCCCTCTGAGTTGTAATCAACTGGAAGACAGCAGTCAGTTTGTTTTTTGTTTTGTTTGGGATTTTAAATTATGAATATAATGTTAATTTCTTTTCATATATTAGACTTTACTAGTGTTAGTGCTCCCTTTATTTCTAAAAATTAAAAATTTTTAATTGACATATAATTCACATATACTATTCAATAGTTCAATCATATTAAATGAGTTGTGTAATCATCATCACATAAATCTTAGGACTTTTTATTCATTCTCATATACAATGTTGTTAGCTCCCCATTTCTCCCCAACCTCCCCTGCCATGCCCCTAGAAAACTATTAATGCAGTTACTGTCTATAGATTTGCCTATTCTGGACTTCACATACAGAAAAACATACAAAACCAAGACAACAACAATGACAAAATAAAACCTATAAGAACACCAATTGAAAAGAAGGCAGACAACATGGAAAAGGGGAACAAATATAAAATAGGTCCAAAGATGATCAAATGACAAGTTGTCACATTTTTAACCTAACAACAGCTGCAGCAATCCAACTACTCTGCACTTTGCCTGATAGCAAGGCCATTCACATCGCTGGACATTGGCAGAAGGGGTTCCGCAGAGGCTCAATCCACGTGGGGACCTTGCAAATGAATTTGGGGCGTTCCCTGTCATATATCCTTCTGTAAAATGGAGTGTTCAGAATTAAAGCTCTAATACTACTCCTTCCTACAGATTTCAACTGCATCATTTACAACCCCTATATCACAAAAATGTACGTGCTTCTTCTGTGTAGACTTAACTGATACCTCGCATAGACGACGGCTTATTTTCAGATAAACTGTTAAAATCTGAGGCCCTACTCTTTCTGATTACCAGGCACTCTCTCATTTCTTCGCCACACTTTCTATAGCACCCGTATGTTCAATGAGCTCTTCATAAGGGCAGATATTGAGTAGAGCTATGTCATAAGAACGATTAGTTTTTAGTATATTGTCTTAATTAATGTTCTCTATTGTATTTTTCTGGTTTCTAATATCCATTGCAATGGCTACACAGAACTCACTGGCAAAATTCATGACTAGAGGACTTCTTAAGGAAATTTTAAAATTGTAATGTTTGTCAGAAAGGCACTGTATAGTTATTTAACAGAACAGGTTACAAACATCTTTCAGGTCTACCACGAAATTCCCAAAGTGGGGTATACTACTCCACTGGAAGACCTCGACCAGAGGGCATTCAACCCAAATTCCGTGGGTCAGCAAATTCCGTTCCCTGAATTAAGTGCCCAGAGGCACTCCACTCCACTACGCTAGAAAGCACTCAGCCCCACTCTCACCGGGCAGCACGTCCGGGCCCACTGCCCCCACCCCTGCCCAAGGAACTGGCAGGGGCAGCTCAGTCTGCAAGCCAGCCTCCAGCACGAAGCACTCAGCTTTATTTGCTCTATGGATTCTGAAGTCCACTCCTTGTTCCATGCTCTGACCCCCGATTCTGCTGCTTTTTCTCCAAAGTAATAGCTGTCTTCTGGATCCAGGAGGTTCACTGCCCAGGAATCTTGGATCCAGAGGACTTACTGCACTCCTGGCTCTTGTTGCTAAGGAGATCCTTCCACCTGAATTCTGAGAGGGCTCATTTTATACGCAGTAGGATGATATTCCAGGGACTCCTGGTCACAGTTACTCAAAAGTGGATCCTATCAGGACCTTCCTTCACCTTCATACCAGACCAATGCAGGAAAAGGTCATTTGGTGGGAATTAGATACTTGGTTTAGAATAGCCACATTAAGTAATTCAATGTTCCTGCACTTAGATTAAGGCTACAATTAAGTGTGAGCTCAAAATTCAATCCTATATCTATGGTTATATATGTACTTGGTTCACTTTAGAGACATCATTATTATTTTATTGAAGAAAATTACATATCATCCCCATCAGGCATATGGTAACTCTATTGTTATTAATTTATCTATTGGTATAGAATTTAGAACACGATTAAGAAAAGGAAAATATACATGTACAGGGCAGCTTTTTTAGAGCCAACTACATGGATTGCTGATTTGTGCAGATTAAAATTTTAAGTGACTGGACACTATTTACACATGCAAAGAGGATTAGAGGGGGAAATTTTTAGTAATTCTCATTCACAAAGCATAAGTAAGCCTGTTGGACTAAAAAAAAGTCATATAAAAGCAAAGAGCACGGGAATAGTGACTATACGGCAGTCTTATGTTGACATTTATTGGGCACCTTCAAAGCAAGAGATTTGAACCAAAGACTTAACCATTGACTTCCAAAACCATTTGCATTTGATGATGTCGGCCTCATAAAGTATCTTGCCAATGAAATCTTTCAATATTATAACTCAAGGCTTAAATTGTGCCTTTAGTTTTGTATTTGTTTGTTTTTTCTTTGCCATTTGAGATATGCTGAGTGTGTTCTTTCTTTTTGATTTTTTAACTCTAGCTATTTTCTTATTTCATTATAATGTTTTGCATTGTCTTCTCAAGCTTCCAGTATTTATAAATACATCTTGGTTACATGTTTCATGCATTCCAGATTCAAGAAGTTATTAGACTTTTTTAATGACTTTAGTGGTTTGTCCATTCATTTGAATAAAAGGTATATTAAGTGATCGCCTTTGTATATATATAGATAATCTATCACAGATAGCATTGTTCATCAAGATAGATCTTAAAATGTTATTTCTGATGATCAACTCTTCCTCCTGGATTTGTCAGGCCCCACATAGTATAACATTTGATTGTCCCATTCAAGATGAGTGATGAAAGTCCATTTCAGCTAGACATTGCCTCTTTAGGCATTCCACTTCAAGATTAACAATTTCCAATTTTCCTAGATTAATGCTTTTTGTATTCCTCATTACAAGTACTTTAAGAATGTTCATAGATGTTTCTTTTCATTTTGAATTATGCCCCATCAAACAATCAAGGTCCCCAAAGCTTTACTCCTTCAAAGTCATTAAAAGCTAGTCAACTTTGAGAGCATATCCCCCCCAGCCACATTTCCATCGCCTTCTAATCTGTGGGGCACATCTACTAGCACTCCAGCTGTCAGTGTCTCTCGGTTAGTGATACGGTTTTTGCTGGTTAATTCTTCAGAAGTGGATCACCCTTCTTCCTATTAAA